TATTATTATTATTATTATTATTATTATTATTATTATTATTATTATTATTATTATTATATACTTCATAGTTACAGCTGTAACATTGATAGAATATGTTTGTATAGATCTGCTTGTAGATATTGAAATATATATATATTGAAATATTAAATTAAACTGCTATTTAACCAATTTATTATTTTCATTGAATTCTTCAGCAAAATTTGCTTTTTAGAACTTAACTTCAGCATTTAATTGGGAAATAATTGAAGCTTATAGGTAAACATTATTAAAAAGAATTAGAGAATAAATCGTATTGGTGAAAAGCATATTCAAATACTTTGTTTATAAAAAAACAATAGCTAATTGTATTATATTTTTGTTTGTTTTCAGAATATGGATGGTTGAAGTGCCTAGCCAAACAAATGATAACATGGCAATCGTCCGTGACAAAACAGTGATTTTTCAGGATTGTTTTGTTCATGATACTCCTTTTACTATTGCCCAGCCTATATATATATTAGGCCCCAAAACAGGAGTTTCTGTCACTGTTCCAGCTGGTAGTGATGCCTTAATGGAATGGTCTGCCTGTTATCCAAGAACAGCTATCGTAGCGACAGTTGATGGTATTTTCTACACTAGCAATGGATTTTTAAAAGTAGCAGAAATAAAATTTCCTCCAGACCTCGTACCATCTGGCATGATTCACCAAGTCAAAGATGTAGCTATTCTTTTTCCAAATGCCTTCATTCTGATTGGAAACATGCTTTATCGGGCAAGCATAGGCGAGGTTATCAACATTGGAGAGTTTTATTTTCCACATGTAAGATTTATTGGAACACAAAGCAAAACTTGGTGTTCTGATGAATATCCTTTGACTGTGAGTATTTATAAAATGTTGGTTTATATGTAATTATAAGGGAAACTACTCATCCTTAAAATAAATACACAAGTGCTTCATATAATGTGCAACTAATCTCTGACATCAGATCCAAGTGAAATGTTTGACAGCTCTTATAGACTACATGAATTACATGAAGTGATAGATTGTGTCAGAATGAGTAAATTGGAGTTTAGTCTATACGACATAGTTATGGTGGAGTTGCTTACTTTCTTAGGGAAATACTTTCCTTTAAGGATCAGATTGGCAGTTTGCTGATTTCTCTCAATGTCTAAATACTAGTGGCTTAGTGTACTTTATAATAATTTCATCTGCCTTATCGGATACTGGAAAAAAGCACATGGCTGCTGATGTTTATGTTACAATAATGCTTATTTTAGAATACAGGTAGTCCTCAACTTACAACAGTTTATTTAGTGACTGTTCAAAGTTACAACAGCACAGAAAAAAATGACTTACAATCATTTTTCACACTGATGACCATTGCAGCATCCCCACGGTCATGTGATCAAAATTCAGATGCTTGGCAACTGACTCATATTTATGACGGTTGCAGTGTCCTGAGGTCATATGACCACATTTTGCAACCTTCTGACAAGCAAAGTCAATGGAGAAGCCAAGTTCACTTAACAACTACATCACTAATTTAACAACTGCAGTGATTCACTTAACAACTGTGGCAAGAAAGGTAATAAAATTCACTTAACAAATGTCTCACTTAGCAACAGAAATGTTGGGCTCAGTTGTGGTTGTAACACGATGGCTACCTGTATTCCAGTGTACTCTTCATGGTTCTGACATTGAAGACAATCCAGAAATTCTAATGGATTTAAAATTGATCAGTCATGTGAAAGCCACTATAATCATATATATAGATAGATAGATATAGATAGATAAAAAATGATCACCAGGATAAAATCATAAACAAAGCTGCTTAATCTACAAAAGTACTGAGCTTTCGTCAGCCACACTGCCGACATCGTCAGAGTATAAAATGCTGGATCCGGGAGTCCGTATTTATGTGACTGGCTGCCTCTGCGCCTTGACCCTCGATCGGGTCATTGGTCTGCTCATTAGCATTGGCCGTGTTGTTCTTAAAGGGGCATTTTATACTCTGACGATGTCGGCAGTGTGGCCGACAAAAGCTCAGTACTTTTGTAGAGTAAACAGCTTTGTTTATGATTTTATCCTGGTGATCGTTTTTTATCTATTCCATGTTATGTGCATACCCGGGATTCGTGTTTTTAATATTATTAAGAATATATATTCTTGTTTCTCCATTGAAGTTGTTGGTTTGATCCTGAGAGCCCTAAAGGTTTGGTACTGGTATTAAAATTTGATTATGCTGAAGAGGTTCTTTTCCCATTTGAACTCTTGTTAGCAGCAACTAGAACTTCACAATGAAGTCCTACCTTGTTGTATCAACTGTAGGTGCTCTTTAGAACATAAAGTAACAGAGTTGGAAGGGATCATGAAGGTCATTTAGTCCAACCCCCTGCTTGAGCAGGAGACCCTCTACTATTTTAGACAAATGGCTGTTCAGTCTCATTTTAAAAGCCGCCAGTGATCGGGCACTTACAACTTCTGTAGGCAAGCCATTCCACTGGTTGATTGTTCTCACTTCTCTTTAGCTCTAGGTTGTTTCTCTTCTTGATTAGTTTTCATCCATTGTTTATTGTCTTGCCTTAGGTGCTTTGGAAAATAATTAACACCCTCATCTTTGTGACAGCCCTTCAGATATTGGAACACTGCTATCATGTCTCTCCCTACTCTTTTTTTATTAGACTACACATACCAAATTCCTGCAACCATTCTTCATATGTTTTAGCCTCCAGACCTCTAATAATTCTTGTTGCTCTTCTCTGCACTTTTTATTACTATCCTCTGTCTAGATTTTTCTTCCTTTTTCAGATTTGAAATATGTTTTGAAATATATAAGGCTGTCCTAGAGGTTTGAAGGAGGTAGATTCCCTGCTTTGGATGCCCTCCCTTCCCTGCCCCACCTACTGACTCATTTAGCTGCCTGCTGTGGCAATAAAACCCTCCTGGTATTGTTTTTAGCTATAAATACTTCGTTCTTGCAAAGTGAATTATTGGGCCAGAAAATGAATATGGAAGAAGTGATGCTTATGTGACAGCCAGCAAGCAAGCTAGGTAGAAAGGCAGCAGGGTGCAGATTACCTAGCTCTACAATCTTTTATCATGTATTACTTTAAGTCTGATCTTTAAAAACTATAGGTAAATATCTGGAGAAGACTTGGACACATTTAAGCAACAGAGAAACATCTGTGTTTTGAGGCATTTCTCTCTGCAGGATACCAGAAGTTGGGATTATAACATTGATATTCTTATTATATTTTTCTTTTGACCTTTATATGATATCTAATTGGCATTTTCAGTTAAAAAGTATTTTGAGCTACACTAGAATCATGTGATTATGCAGTAACTATACTATAGTGCAGTGGTCCCCAAACTTTCTGGCACCAGGGACCAGTTTTGTGGAAGACAATTTTTCCATGGATTGGGGGGGATTTGCCATTCAACCTAGATCTCATGCATGTGCATATGAAGCTTTGCTTGCCAACTGCTTACATGGTCCAGTTTCTAACAGGCCATGGACAGATATTGATCAGCAGTCTGGGGATTGGGGATAGTGGTGTGTTAGACCAGGACTGAGACACTCAGGTTCAAGTGTCCACCAAAACAAATAATTCATTGGTTGAGTTTGGATCAGTTATTTTATTTCAGCCCACCTTACCTCACAGCCTTGTTGTTACCTAGTATAAGATTAGATGATTCCATGTTTGCTACCTCTAGCAGAAAACTGGGAAATAGATACAACTAAATACATATGACTGCTAAATACAATAGTCTTGGCTGTGTCATTTTGGGAACAATTATACATTATTTCTTTTTGTTCATCAGATAGCAGCAACAACTAAAAACAGATGTTTCAGCAGAGGGTGGGGAGCCTACAACTTTGCATGTGTGATGAATAGGTCTGTTTGAAACACCTTTGGTTTGCCCCAGTGAAGTCTTTCATGTTGTGAAGACACCATATGAGTTCATTCTCTATGGCAGAGTTCTCCAACCTTTCTGGCCTCACAGTCCGGAGGGGAGAGCAGCTTCCAAATTACTGCATGCGTGCACGCATAGATGCAAATGGGGCCACGCCCACTGGCGCAGTACTAGCAAATGTGTTCACACATGTGGCATGCGCTGGCACCGTACGCATGCGTGAACGGCCGCGCAACCCTGCGGTGGCTAGCACCTGTTCGCACATGCACAAATTGGCTGCGCAACCCCCCATGCTAGCGGCCCATATGCACATGCGCAAACGGGGCACGCATACACACACCATGCTAGCATCCCCGTTCACGCCCATGCATATGCACAAACAGGGTCATGGGCGCTATTATGAGTGGGGGGAAATGCATGCTCACGCGTGCATGCCCTGGCCAGAGATTTCTATGACCCGCTGGCCAAGAGCCCACAGCCCGGCACTGGTCCACGGCCCATAGGCTGGGGACCCCTGTACTATGGAAAGGAATTGGAAGCTGCAACAAGACACCATCTCAACAGACCATAGATTGATTAAGGATTTATCTCCACTGTGGATTAATGTGCTATTCATCTTAAACATGAGTCTCATATGCATCTTCTTAACATGCATAGGCAGTTAAAAAATGCCCCCAATTTATATAATCTCTGTAGTAATGGCATATCCAGACAATTAACATATGAGACACAATTTTAATTAGTTTATGTTAAGTTAGCATCATGCAGACAATTCTAAATAAGCAGAAAAAACCCTACTACAATATGTATTCAGAAATTTAAGAGAGGCTTTTCGAAAAAAAATAGAAGGAATTCAGATATTTAAGTCCCAAGAATGTTACAAACATGCAGGTAGGTTGTCAGATGGCCAGTCTGAAAATCCAAATAACAGAATAATTTCACCGTTAGGAAATTTCTTCTTAGTTCTAGGTTGCCTCTCTTCTTGATTAGTTTCCATCCATTGTTTCTTGTTTCTTGTCCTGCCTTCTGGTAGTTTGGAGAGTACCGTAGGTTGGCTCTTTTTCTGATAGCTCCTCAAATATTGGAACACTGTTATCCTGTCTCCCCAAGTTTTTCTTTTCATTAGACTAGACATACCCAATTCTTGCAATTGTTCTTCATATGTTTTAGCTTCCAGACGTCTAATTATCTGTGTTGCTCTTCTCTGCCGTCTTTCTAGAATCTCAACATCTTTTTTATATTGGGGTGACCAAAACTAGATGCAATGTTCCAAGTGTGGTCTTATCAAGTTATTATACAGCGGTACTAATAGTTCATGTAATCTCAATTCTACCCCTCTCTTACTGCAATTTAGGATTTCATTGGCTTTTTTGACAGCTGTAGCACACTGCTGGCTCATATTTAAGTGATTGTCAGCTGATAAGAGTGGGTAGGTGCCTGGAGTACAGCAGTCCAACAAAATTGTCTGGCTTGATGCCCATAGTCCAAGTCTTTTATCTTTTCAAAGTCCAATCTCATTTGATCCAAACTGGTTTACACTCTCATACTCTTATACAATAGTCCGGCAATCATCTGATTTCTGATATGAGATCTAGCATTGGCTTCTTTGAGCCTCTTGCATTCTCCGCAGCATCTTTTCACATAGGAACTTCAAGAATGTTACATCAAAAACACTGGAGGTTTTTAAGAAGAGACTGGACAGCCATTTGTCCGAAATGGTGTAGGGTTTCCTGCCTGAGCAGGGGGTTGGACTCGATGACCTCCAAGGTCCCTTCCAACTATTATTATTATTATTATTATTATTATTATTATTATTATTATTATTATTATTATCATCATCATCATCATCATCATCATCATCATCATCATCATCATCATCATCATTATTATTATTATTAACCCTTTATGATATAGGCCAACTGTCTTATGCCAGCCTTCAACCTTATCTTTCATGAATATATTAGTTTTCAGGTCTTCAAGGGAAAGCTCTCCATATCAGGCATACTTCTGTATAGAACCACAGAAAAGATTTAATGGACAGGAAATGCATGAGAGGGAGAGTTATATATTCTAATGACTAGAGTAAATGAGATTAGGCTGAATGTGCAGCATTACTACATTTATTACATCATAATGTACTAAATTGGAACAAATGTATAGGATATTGAATAGATTTCTCTGGCAAGGGCAACCTGTGAGATTTTCATTGTGCAAGTTATAATTACCGATCAGGAAAGGTAGATTTAGTTTTCTACTTGTTCAAGCACTTATACTAGCTTTAGTCAATGGCTAGAATATAGTAATATTTAGTCCTTCTTGAGAATTATTATTTAGTATATGATTTGAGAATTATTTTTAGTCCCTAGTGAAAGTGCTTACTGTAGGTATACTGCCCAGAATGTAGTAGTATAGATTTGGGTGGTCTGATCAGTACTTTGAATAATAATAAAATAATATATTGAAATCTTTACAAGTATTTCCAAAGTAATCTGTTTTAGTACCTGTATTTAATGCAAAAAATACATACAGTTTACTGTAGATGGCCATGGTTCATCCATGATAGGCTGGAGTTCAGATTTACTGATATGAAAAGTTATTAACTGAAGCTATTGAAAATTAGTTCAAAACAAATAATTCATATTTGTAAAAGTGATGTTCTATTAAAATTGTGGTTTGATTACCTTCTGAATAAACAACTGGCCAGACTTGTGAATGTACTGGTGCCAGAATTTTAAAAAAAGGAAAATTACAATTATGCTAATATAAAATTGCTTTTCTTCTCATGGTCTGCTTGGTTCACATTTGTGGTTCTCCGTCTGTGTAAGAATTTATATGTTATTACATATGGATTTCTTTTTATTAAAATATTCTCATTGCTTGATGTACCTGTTCTAGTATGAAATAATTAATCTATATAACAACACAGATTGTTATATAACAACGTAAATTGAAGATTAAATAGAACAACATACATAGTTACATAGAACCAAAATGCAGATATATAGAACTAAAGATACATAGAACAAAAATCTAAACAAACATGTTATAATGAAGATAAGAACAAAAATCTAAACAAACATGTTATAATGAAGATAATGTGACTACATTTTCTCGATTAGGGAAATGCCTTTTTTATTAGAACAGTAATTCATTGTCATGGATGTTTGAGTTAGGTGAGTGTAAGGACCCACTTCAATCCACATTTTAAGAAAGGAGAACTCTTGGAAACGGTCTCTTCCAACAGGAACTTTTATTAAAAGAAACTGATACCAGGCATGATAGACAGGATCTGAGGGATCCCCTTACAATTCAATGTTTTTAAATGTCCCTAAGCAGCCCCCCCCACCCCGCAGTTCTTCCGGGCGATTCAAACCAGCAGATTTCTAGGTGTCAACTCCAGGAGAGATAGCATCAGTCGGGCTCCATTGGCACGATCATTCAACCTCCCCTCACACAGATCCCAGATGCTGCATCTTTCCCTCCCCCTTTTCTCTCGCTAGCCAGTATGGAAGAGAAGTTCAGAAGGACATAGGATGAAAGGCAAATGGCTACATTGTTATCGTTAACAGATCCAAAGCAAATCAACAAAAGGTTACTTTGTAGTGAATAGAGGAAGTGAAAGTAATAAAAAACCCATGCATACCCCCCTCCCCCTTAGTAGTATGACAGAATCCAGGAGAGAGTAAGAATTGGTTTTATATCAGAGAGGATAGATAGAAATGAAATATAACTGGATTCTGACAGTGAGGTTGTACTCTATACTCTTATCAGTTCCAAATATCAGTATACTATAATTTCATGTTTGTCAAGTTACAAATATGGCTGCTAGAAGTATAGCAATTGTATGTAAGTACAAACTGTTTTTCTCTGGTTTTGACTGTCCTTGTATAAGTTGCAAATATATTAATTCATGATACTGTTAATTTTAATGAATATTTTATAAACATTGCAATCTTCAATTTTATTGTTATTTTGTAGAATTTGGAACATTATTTTCATAATTTTGTTTTCCTTCAGGAGAGAAAATTAAGTGAAATAATTATATGGTCAGAAGATGAAGTTTTTCTTGGATATCGTGGGAATGAATTTCATCTGTTGATAGATGTAGGACTGTTAAGAGAAAAATTAAAATTACAAAGAACTGTTAATCTATTAATAGTATCTATTTGCTATGACTCACTTACTGCTTCAATTGCAATATTGCTAGAATGCACTGGCTGTGCAAGCAAAAAGATATTATACATAGCTGCCTATGAAGAAGATACAGCTGAATGGATCCTAAGAGACTTTACCCTAGGTTTGCCTACTGTTGGTGCCATACATATGGAAGTCATAATTTCAGCATTAACATCCATGGTATTGTGGGATGATGACACAGTTTTCTATACTTACAAAGAGCATAAACACTATGGTTATCTTCATGAATCTGGTACCAAAAAAAAATTTTCAGCAGTGTCTGAAGGATCTGCAATTCATCAAATTATTATTGGTTAAGTATTCTATGTTTTAATGGAAATATAAAATGGAACTGATCATCCTTCAAACAGCAAAGTCTCAAACTTTTTAGAGATGTAATGGTTACTGTAATAACAAAATTTTAAATTGTGTGAAAAGTGCAGTGCAGTTGTCACAAGAGATAGTTTGAAGTACTTAGTCAATAAGAAGAGTTGTATGGCCCTAATGAGAAGAGAGCTGAGAAGGTGATTATGAGTGAGTGGGGGCTGCTGCAGCTGTATGGTGAATAAGGGGACCAAGAGAGGAACCATTGGTTGGCTTGGCCCTGGAAGAGTGAAGACAACTAAATTGAAATCTGGCTGGGTGACGAAGAATGTAGGCCCCTATTTAATAGTTGGCTTCCAGAATTCCAGATGTTTCAGCAACTGTGATAGAAGGGAAGGAGAGCGGGGATGATATTTTATGGAACTTTAATCTCCTTGAATTTACTGGGGATGCTAAATCTGGTCTTTCAATTAGCAGAGTAAAGTGATGTAATTTAGGCAGAATAATAAAGTGAGACAGGATAAAGACGAGATTTATTCTGGAATGGTATCAGACTTTTGTCAGAGTAGAGAGACACTATGGGTTTATCTTCAGACAGCAATTTTTTTGTGACTATCTGGCATTCAAATGAGAACTATATTCTGATAGTATCACCGAATAAAATAGTTATCTTTATATTAAAAATAAATGTGTGAAGTACTAAAAGCTGAAAAACCAAAATAACCTTATTTTCAGCTGAGAAAATTATTGTATAAAGTGGCCAATGAAACTTTTGTCAACTTAGTATGCCTTTAAGACTTATGACAATCAAAAGAATTAAATATGTTACAATGAGTTTTTTAAAAAAGAAAGTGGGAACTGAAATAAGTAAGAATAATGAGATTTATTTGGAGTAACTGTAGATAGACTAAACAACATTATATGTTTAACAAAATCATAAACGTTTACTGAACAGTAAGTTCCTACACAGTAATGCTTATTCTACTTTGAATATATTTGAAATTACAGTATCAAGACATTAATATTTTATATGAAATAATTTTACTTGTCTAGAAATGTACTTAACATGGTATTCTTTTTCTTTTCCAGATTACAGTGGAAATGCCATAATAAAGCTGAAAAATAATGCTCTGTTTTTCTTCAAATTTGAAGTGACAGATGTTATAAAGCTTACTGCTTGGGAAAGTAATCTTAAAAAGTTTATTTTTTTTTTTAATCCTTCTGGAGATATATATTTGCTGACAATCAATGGCACAAATATAAACCGCCAGGTATATCCATTGAAATTAGAAGTGCTTAGTGCTGCATCAAAATTGAACGACGTTTGCCCATATATATCATTTGAACAAAATTTGAATCTCAGTATTCATTATATAGACATGGGAGACAAAGTGACATTTTGGGGTCAGATAGTATTTTTAGAAAATAATGGTTTATCAGTGGATGTTGAAATTCACAGGCCACAACTGTTGAAGACTAAAGAACTTATCAATTATGAAATAGCTCGTGGAATCTGCACTAAAAATAAGGTTAGTCAGCTTTCTTTCTATACACAGTATCATTATTTTCTACTTTTTGTTACTGTTCTTATATGAACCAGACTGACTAAAGGGGCATTTATGTTTCCTATAAATTTTGTGCAGATCACAGTACGCAATCAGAAATACAGTAAACTAGAAACAAAGCCAGACATTAGAATTTAGAAAAAATACAAACAAGGAACTCTGTAAAGGTTGTTTATTAAACAGCATATAATGATATGGTATGTAATATCACAGAAATATTAAATATGCTATGCTTTATTCCATAAAATATTTTTTAATATATTTTATTGATTTTTTAACATAGTCACCTTGTGTTGTTGTTATTAGTTGCGAAGTCGTGTCCGACCCATCGCAACCCCATGGACAATGTTCCTCCTGGTCTTCCTGTCCTCTACCACCTTCTGGAGTCCATTTAAGCTCACTCCTACTGCTTCAGTGACTCCATCCAGCCACCTCATTCTCTGTCGTCCCCTTCTTCTATTGCCCTCAATCTTTCCCAGCATTAGGCTCTTCTCCAGTCGCCTTGCAGTCCAGAGGACTCACAGGAGTCTTCTCCAGCACCATAGTTCAAAGGCCTCAATTCTTTGGCGCTTAGCCTTTCTTATGGTTCACCTTTCACAGCCATACATTGCAACTGGGAAAACCATGGCCTTGACTATACGCACTTTTGTTGGCAGGGTGATGTCTCTGCTTTTTAGTATGCTGTCTAGATTTGCCATAGCTTTCCTCCCAAGGAGCAAACGTCTTTTAATTTCTTGGCTGCAGTCCCCATCTGTGGTGATCTTGGAGCCCAGGAAAATAAAATCTGTCACTACCTCCATTTCTTCCCATCTATTTGCCAGGAATTGAGAGGGCCGAATGCCATGATCTTAGTTTTCTTAATGTTGAGTTTCAAGCCAACATTTGCACTCTCCTTCACCTGCATCAAGAGGCTCTTTAGTTCCTCTTCACTTTCTGCCATTAGAATGGTATCATCTGCATATCTTAGGTTGTTGATATTTCTTCCTGCAATCTTAATTCCAACTTTTGATTCATCTAGCCCTGCCTTTCTCATAATGTGCTCTGCATATAAGTTAATATATGGTAAACAGCATGTTGTCTGGGTTTATATTTAAAAACAATCAGTAACAATTAATTTCTATAATTCCATAATCCACATAGTAGCTTTCTTTGATTTTCTCTCCAATAATTTTCTCTTTTACCAACCTTGAATTAGTACATTTCTTAGTATTTTGATAGATAACAATTGAATATAAATATTTTTCTAATATTTAACAACCACATCAATATAAAGCTTCTTTTGTAATTGATCATCTTAATTATCTCATCATAGATCCTGTTTTCAAAGTTCTTATTTAGATTTGTTTTCCTCGCAATGTTCAAAACATTCTTCCAGTTAAGATTTTCTCAGAGTTAATTACACTTACGTATTTAAGTCTTTTTCCTCATACAAGCCAACCCAACAATTTTACATTTCTCATATCTTAAAAAAAGCAACAAAAAAGAAAGAAAAAAAGAAGGAAATAGTATACTACTTGAGAAACATGTCCCTCTTAAGCTAAGATACACTTATACCCAGAATTTTTCTATTTTTTTAACCATATTCAAACAAATGTTTAATCTTTAAATATTCCATCTAATAAATCCAATCATCTAATCTTTTGAGTCTATTCAGAATATTTTTATCAATTGAGATTTTCTCAAGATCAATTACACTTAATATATAAAACATTTCCCTCATATAAACTATCCCAACATTGTTATATTTCTTATATGATAAAAAAATACTATGTTACTTGAGGGGCCCATCCCTCTTAAACTAAAGTACATTTATATCCAGATTTTTCTATTTTTTAAACCATATTCAAACAAGTGTTTAATCTTTAGATATTCCATCTGATAAATCCCATCATCTAATTTCTTAATTCTAGATTTAGCCTTTTTTCCCCTGCGAAACGTCTTTCTTAATCTGTATGCTCCTCTGGACCAAAAAGTCTTCCCATAGTCCTGTAGAATGTAGATGTTGTTGTAAGTACAAGAGACAAATCCAGTAAGATGTTTTTGTGGGAGGGTTTCACTCCTCCCTGTTCATTAAAAATCTTTTTCTTTCTTTCTTCTTTAATTTTTCCTATCATTTTTTTGTCTCTCAAGTTCTTGTTGTTCTCCTGACAGCTCTATAATCCATTTTTTCCGCTTCCAGTTTTGCACAGTAATGCAGCAGCCGAGGGATCACGGGGCTCCGCACCCTACGGCTGATTTTTTTCCTGTTAGGGGACCCTAAATGGGCCTAAAGTCACCCCAGAGAGGCAACAAAGAAGGAAGGGAGCCCTGCCAACCACGAAGAGACGGCAGTCAATCTGGTTGTTCAGGGAAAGCCCTGCAGAAACCAGAAGAAGAAATAGCCTTCACTCCAGAGTCTAGCCCAAGCTACAAGCAGCCAAAGCCAAAAAGCACTAATTTAAGCTTGATTGTAAACAACGTGTTTGGAACTGGGTAAGAATATCGATTCTCTGTCTTCTATTTGATAATTGATTTCCTGGGGAAAAAAACCCAAGAAACAAAAATTCCCCGAAAGTGAGAAAAAGGGAGACTCTTGCCCCATCCTCCCACAGAAGGAAGCAGAAAATTAAACTTTTATGGGGGACAGAAATATATTGAAATGAAATGAATATAAGACTTAAATCTGGATAAGTTTGAAATTGGTAGAATTTGTTAAGATTTTCTTTCCAAAAGATTATTGATGAAAACAGAAGAAAGTAATTGCTTGTTTTGAAAACTGAAAAATGAACTGGTGCTGACATCTTGTGGTGGGTAAAAATATACAACTGTAGTTGCTCTAATACAGGAATTGGCAGTAAGCCCAGAAAAAGATAATCTGTTTTTGTGACTTTCAATGTCTTAACTAAACAGAGAACAGCTGCAACAAAGAAAAGAAAACATTTTGGGCTATCTACAAGGCAAGAATTATAAACCTTAGAAAAAAAATTAACCTTCCTGGATTATAAATACCTATTGAACTGTGACTCTAAAGCTGTTTGCAGAGTAAGGAAAACTTTGATTTTTGGCTATCATGGAACATCAGAGATCTGCAGAAAGAACATATCAAGAAAAAACAAATACTTTCCAGGAGGAAATGTATGCTATGTTGCAACTAATTCAAACTACAATGATTTTAAACCACAAGGAAATTAAAAACAACTTTGAAAATATAAATTAACATATCTTCAATTTAACCTTAAAACAAAAAACTCTCAGAAAATAAAAATAGAGAGCAATCAGATAAAACAGACAACTGAAAATAAACCAGAGGAAAGAGATTTAAAGATGGAACCCAACAATGGAAGGAATTATGACTTAACCCAGGTGGAGAAAAACTTGCAGGAAATATCAGACATGGAAAAGATAACCTACGCTTCAAGATTTCAAAATAAGTCCATGAAATATTTTCCATCTATAGCTAAACATACTTCAATACAAAAGTCACTGGTCAAAAGTCCACAGATTAAAACAATAAAATATTTTAAGAATATTTGCAGATCACTCTATAAGACCAATAATGCATTTAAAAAAAATAAAAATTCAAGTGCAGCCTTTGAATCCTGTACTTAGTGATGCATTCAGATAATACGTGTTACATGAGGCTATTTGCACGCTTGCACAAGAATCTGTCCTAGCCTTTTCAGTCAAGATCAGAAAGGTCTGCTGTGACTCATTTCAAAAATCAATATTTAATTTTAAAATAATAGTCAGATAAGATACAATTCTATATCTGTTGGAGAAGACATACTGAGTTGAAGTACATATAAATTATATATTTGATATAGCTCATGTAACTTGTTATCTATATTTTATTTATTAATCAAGTTTTATATTTTGCTTGCCTTAAACCAACAAGAATCCAAAGAGTCACTTTGGATAGTGAGATGAGTGGCATATAAACTAAATAACTAAGTAAATAAGTAAATAAAATAAAATAAAATAAAGAATTCATATATGCTTTATGCAATTTTCTCCTAATATATGTTGATTAGAAATTCAAAGGAAGGTATTATAGTCTAGTTTACTTATGCATTTATCCATTGTTCCTCACAGACTGTAACGTTTTATCATGAAAGGGATTATTCAGAACTGTCTGATTATCGAACTCAGATGTAAGTTAGAATTTATTAATATAAATATATAATATAAAGAGGAATTCAGAATAAATACACTATTCAAGGGTGTCAATGCATTTTGTTTTTAATATATTCCAGTATTATAGTGTTATATTCTAGCTCATAGGATCCAGGCCAGGGTTTAGCTTATTCTTGTTAATTATTGGGATTCCAAAAGGAGGGACAGGAAAAAGCGAGAAAGTTAAAAGTTTACAGGTAGCTTGTGGAGAATTCCATTAACGATTTAATAAACATGATCGGCTTTTGATTATTGCTGATGCTGAAATACTCTGTAGGGGATAAAAAGTACCGATGGACCCAGTTTCCTGCAAAGATTGCATATCTACTTGTTAAGTCTATTTTATTTTATTATTTTATATTTTTCTCTTTTTTGTGCAAGAAACAGGCCTGCATATCTCAAAAAAGTCAGAGATATTATTCATCTGTACAGATTTCAATGGGCCAACTCATTCTGAATTCAGAGTTTTACGACACATTTTCAACTACCAGAGCATGTGATAGATACTGGTTGTAAGAGCTGTCAAATCTGTAATGACGGGATATTATAATTTTATGAAGATGCAAATTGGCTTGTCTTATTTTGAGGAGAAGATTTTAAAAACTTTGCCAAACAATTTACTAAATAAATAAATTATATATTGCAAATTTGCTAAATAAATAAATGAATTCTAAGTACAACAAAGTGAAGGCAACTCCTAACAAATACTTCAAGCCTTGTTACTCAAGGATTTTGAGTAACATGTTTCCCCAAGTCCACCAACAGGACAACATGTTATCCCTTATCCTCCTGGATATATTTTATTCCCAAGGGTAAACAGAGCCTTATCTTCAACCAGAGGTATTCCCAGACAAAATAAGAATTTCTGAGGTTTGCCATGAGCTGTTCGATTTAATCCCAATCTTTATAGGTTTCACATTAGTTACTAATCATCAATTTTTAGAACTTGTTTTAATTTTGGCTCCAGTTTGAATTGATTTGCACACTGATGTACATAAAGTTGATATCCATTTGTAATTCATTACTTAGAGATATTGTTGCTCCCTTTGTATTGATTATTATTCGGCACTGCTTTATATTTAGGGAGAATATTTGGAAGGAAAATGGAGATCTGAATATTGCATATATATTTCCTATAGATCTAGTTATGTTACTTGTTTGCTCTTTAAGGCAGCAAGAAGAATGAAGTAAATATCAAATTTAGATTTTTAAGTCAACATCCACATATTGAATCCCAGCAGAAGAGCCAGAAATGATAAACTGGACAATTTGGCATTATTGGAACTTGGAGAAAAAAAATGCAAATGTGCTGGGGCTGGGCTGAGCATAGTGAAGGCCCTGGGTCTCTGTTTCACTCTACTTCAGTGTTGCTACCACTGAGGACTGTCACTGTGCAGGCTGGCCAGAAAGGCAAATATGGAGGGGAATAAATAATTAGGTGGGGGAATTGAAGAGGAGGCAGAGGCGATAGTTCCTTACCTTACCGAAGCTCGGGACTGGGAGTAACAAAGCTGGGATTAGGATATGTATTGTCACCTGATGACCACTTGATTCACCTGATTCACTTAATTATAGTAACAGAGATTGCCAGAATTGCTATCACTAAGTGATATAGTCATGTGATGTCAAGCTTTATGACTACATTGTTTAGTGACAGAAATTCTGGTCTCAGTTACTATTGTCACTGTAATCTAGTTTGCATATTTTATAACAATATAATAAAATATTTTTTAAAAAAGTGAGTGAGAGAGAAAGGAAGGCATATAGAAATTAAAGAAAATATATTTAGAATCAGGATCTCCAATAAAATAGTGTCATCACATAGGAGCCAAGGCGATGATCATGTTTAGTCTTGTTAAAAAAAAAAAGTATTAAGGACTAACAGGCATATTGTTACTTAAGCTTTTGTGGATTATGTTCATCAAATAAGTGAATTTAAGATCTGAGAAAAGAAAGTAATGTATATACATATACCTCTTATTGGTAGGGGGGAAAAGGGAGGAACAGTAAAATGAAAGGTGAAAGTTAGCTCGAATGACAAAAGTTCAACAAGTAGCTCTTAGGTGCGATGCAGACACAGAGAAAGGCATTATAGTCCTTTGTTTAATCCATAAGAAATTGTGTTAAATTTATAATGAATTCTACCCCTGTTATTTCACCATGAAATTGATTTTTATCTTTTTTTTTTTTTAAGATAGCCACCTTGAGGTTAGAGAAATAACTGAAATGTTTCTCTCCTGGTTTTTTGAAATTGTCCGTTCTGATACTAAGATTTTATCTGTTTATTATCTTGTGTAGAAATTAGCTAGTTAAACTTAAAAGGTTGTGGGGTATTGTTAGGTATCAGTTGAGAATATATTCTCTCACATATTGGTATCAAATATATAATCATATAATAATTTTATAGATATGCATGTTGAATACTCAGTTTATGGGGAAAAGGAGCATTTTCATTTTTTTTCAAAATTTTTCTGAAAGTTGAGTTTGTAATAAGTTAGTAGATAGGTTAGTTTACTAGTAATATGAAAATAGAAAAATGCATGCAGAATGTTTATATGTCTGTGTTTATATATACTAAATACTAAATATATCTTCTAATGCAGTGAATTATAATATCTGATTTCTTTTTTTTCCAAATGTGTTCTTTTATATGTAGAGCATTATCTCAGGGCATCATGTCATTTGAATTTCAGCCTTCAGAATCTGGAAAAACATGCTTAACAAAAAGCGAGGTATGTTAACCAACAAAATTACAGATGAATTTAAAATCCCATGTAACGTAATAGGAAGAGGCTGGAGGAATTCAATACTATTCGTTAGTGGTTATAAAAAAAAGGAAAGATTCTGCATTTTATAAAGAAAGAAAATTATTTTTATTATTCTTTTACTATAATTGAAATGACACCTGGGGTTGGTCAGTACAATTTTCACAATGATATTTATTAAATAAATCTGTTGCATTTACAGCCTGTAAACTATAATCAGTAAACAGTAATGTACATTCTACTTCTGAAATGATCTGAGATTTCTTGATTAGTTTCTCTGAGTAGCTCTACTTCTTTCTGAAGAAAACTTACAGTATTTTACTGACTTTCTGTATTATTTTTGTGCAAGCATTTGTGCATAAATAATTATCTTAAGTTAATTAACTTCTATAGTTGGGCTAAAGTTTTAAAAATGACAAAAAGCCCACCACAGGTTCAATAATTATGACTTTCATATTTTTGCTTCCAATTAATAGTTACCTAGGTTTAAGCTAGAAGGAAAGCGAGATAAACAGCATATGAATTTGTTAAATAAATACAAATAAAGTACGTGCACAACCCTCAATAATTTTTCTCCATTCATCCTTTTCCCCCTTTGTCTTTGAAAACTTTGTGTTAACAGTTTGTGGGGATTTTTTTTCCAAAAAATGTTGTTATTGTAGAAAATGATACTTTATGATGGGTGTCTTTTATCTTTTTCTCAGAGGTTATATATATCAGAACATTTTTATCTTTTTATACATCGATCCTAAAAAATTAAAGCCTTATATCTGATTTTATTGCTCGGATTTCACCAGCCTTTTGACAAATATGTCAGCACTAGAAGTGGGAAAACATTGAATTTCCACTAGAAGGCTCATACTCTCTTGTTACATATCAGAATCCATTTTAGGCTGAATATTGTCGATGTTTTTGATGTTTGATGTTTTTGATATTCTCCCAATTCAGTTTGTTTGTCTTCGACAAACCTGAGCTACTTTTAAAAGTCGGCACCCACCATCAGTCACACACTTGATAATAGTCCTCATCTAGATAGAAAGCTTTCCAGTCTCCATGTTAATGTTCTAAGCCCCATCTATCAGTACCACAGTCAAGTAAACAGACATTCTTTGTGTCTGTTTCTAGATCATCGGAGGCCATCACATTAAACCTTCAATGTTAAATAATATTTTAAGAGCTTATTATTTCCATCTTTAGGTATCTCTTCAAAGAGATTTTTTTTCAAGAAGATTTTTATATCCCCTTGTTTTGATGCTTATCTTCAGCTGGATTGTGTGTTTGTGTGTAAACAAGCTATATTGTAGAAATACTGGCTCCTATCTCAGCGGAGTAATACAATAAACTTGCATTTGTGTTCATCATTGAGAATTATGAAAATAACAGTTCATTCTTCTCAGTTTTACATATTTTATTTCCCTTAAAATAAGAATTATTAATGTCTGCAATAAAAATTAGTAGTGGCTTCCATCCCTCCTTTATGCAGTTGTAGTAGCCTGTGCTAAACAGCTATATAGATACAGCCTTCAATATTTGTCTGCCAGAATTGAATAAACATTACTACAAGGTGACCAACTCCTTCTTTGAAAGGTCTGTGTTTAGTTCTCTGGCTTTTTATCATGTCTCCTGCAAATGAGCTTGCTATTCAGCCTTTGTGTAAGAATGCTCAGAGCCAGACTTGTAATTGTAACTGTTCGGATGGCCACCTATGCAGTCATGCTATCCATTTTCCTTTTCCTCTATAGGTGTTGGAGTACTTGCAATTCTGCTTCATGTTTAGTTTTTATTATCATTTGAAAGATTGAATTGCACAAGAAGTGGGAACCAGTACCTTTGGTGGTGTGTATGAGGAATAGGCTCTCACAAAAACTTTTTCTTAGCTATAGAAGTATTCTAAATGAAGCTCTGGGCATATGCACATCTCAAATCCAAATGCCATATGGTTAATGGTTAATGGTTAATTTAATTTGTATACCGCCCTTCTCCCGTAGGACTCAGGGCGGTTCACAGCATATTAAAAACACAAATACAATATACAGGATACAAAAAAAATCATACAAAAATACACAAAATAACCCCACTAAAACCTAATTAAAAGCCAAATATTGATTGCTGTGTTCCCATTAAAATTACTTTTTNCTTTTTAAAAACGTCCCTACCTAAAATCCCTACCTAAAATCCTCCCTAGGTCAGGCCCGCTTGCTGGAAAAGCCATGTCTTGAGGGCGCGGCGGAAAGTAAGGAGATCCGGAATCATCCGGATCTCGGGGGGGAGTTCGTTCCAGAGGGTGGGGGCACCCACAGAGAAGGCCCTCCCCCTGGGGGTCGCCAGCCTACATAATATATGAATTATAATGGTAAGCAACTGGTCATATTCTCTCCTAGCTCTAATAAATAGTGTCATAAGGTACATCCTCATTATTTCCTAACAATAATAAAATGTGCAAGTGGCTTCAATATCTCACAAAACCAGAGAGAGAGTGCAATATGATAATTAAAATATTGATTATATTAGCCATATAATCAAGAAACTCAATCTTGGGCTATCATTCCCTACCAACCCAACTTAATTCATAATATTGTGGGGATAAAATATGGAGAGATTCTCTTTGAACACCATTTTTTGCTCTCAAATTACTGCTTACATATATTAAACTCCGTAGTTATAAAGAATAGATTGGACACTTTTTGAAATAAAAAAGACATAGCATGACTTAAAAAGGAAAACAGACAACATTTGGGTATACAGCAACTACTTTGAGAGAGTTTTTGTAAATATGTAGATGTTTTAACTGTGTTTTTTCCTAGCTTTGTCACATAAGTGTTGGTTGTCCTCCATGGAAAAAAATAATTGTAAGCAAGTAAGTTGTTTCTTTTTCTACTCTAGAAATGGACTAAGCACACAAATATAGCGAGGATTTTTCCAGATTGCTGGAAAAATAAAAGGCAATCTGAAGAAAAAAATAACTTTTGAGATAAATGACAGAATTTGAAACATTTACAGCATACAGAAACAAGACTACTAATTAGAACATATATATAAATTTCTATTAAGATATGACACAGAGGCAAAACAAGTAAATGAGTTATGATAAAGTGAATGCAAACTTTTATAAAAACAAATTACAATGGAAGGACTTCTGAAAACAAAAACCAGTAAAATTTATTCCACACTAAACTTTAAGAGAAAATTGGTATAAAATGATTTACAGATGGTTCATAACTCTGAGTTTTCCTTGTTTTGTGACATGTAATATACAAGGAAGTTATTCTTGCTTCAATTTAGTTAAAGATCATCGACAAGTGTGACCACTGCTGTTTCCTTATTGAAAGGGGTCCAGATAATCCATTACATCTAGAACTGCCAGGTCACCAAGTTGGAAACTGGATGAAAGTTGTGCAGGGAAGTGGGATCCAATGATGGTTTTTTAAGGAGGGTGCAAATTAGGGCTTCCTTAAAAGTCTCCAGAAATGTTCCCTCCTCTAGTGGCATATTAATCACTGCCTGAACCCACCTGCTAGTCACCATCTTGGAGGCTTTTACCAGCCAGGAGGGACAAGGATCTAACTGATAGATGGTATCACTGACAGCATCAAGGACTCTGTCCACTTCATTAGGCCAACAGGGTCAACCCGTTTCAGATAATTGGGCAAGGCCTCTCCCCGGGCATCTCACATGGACTATCTCCATACATGGGATCCAATTGAGAATGAAACTGTGCTACTTTGTCCATCGGGTACTGAACAAACTCCTCTGCACGGTCCTGCAGATGATCACCTGAGCCCCCCTGATCCAGGAGGGAATGGGCGACCTGGAACAGGGTCACTAGGCAACACTCTAGGATGCAATAAGAGTGATCCTGTCCAAAGCTGCCCTTAGATTCCAGGCCACCACCAAGGCTTCGGCAGGACCGTGTGGCAACACCTCCAAGATATCCTCCAGTTCCCTCTGGAACCAATCAGAGTCCATCAATCACCGGGGGGGGGTGGTGGAACAACCAAATGGGTCCGGCCTCCCTGTGGAGGAGGTGGTATATGAAAGTCTCAAGGACACTAGTTTCAAGTTTCAAGTTTATTGCATTTATATCCCGCCCTTCTCCTAGTGGACTCAGGGCGGCTTACAGCCAATTAAAACAAAACAATCGATACAAATCTACAAAATTTAAAATCAATTAAAAGATATATCCAATAGGCCTATTCTTATTTAAAAATTAATTAAAAACCAATTTAAAATGTCCCTAGGCCAGTCCTGCC